TACAAACAAATTCAGCTTAAGAACAAACCTACAGAACTAATTTTGTTCGTAACTTGGGTCTGCCTGTAATTATTGCACTTCAAAAGGAAACATGTACAATTTTGCAAAGTAGCAAAACTGAGCCCTTAAGGGGAATGTCTGGGTGGGGAGCATTCTACCTGACTGGCTTCCCTCCAGCAACATAAAACTCACTGAAGGGATATGAATAGAACAGGCAGTGACAAGCCTTGCGGTAGGCAAGGGACTAGAAATGACTAAGAAGATGTTTGGAAGCACTACAAGACAGAATGGCAGGTCAGCAATGTCAAAGAATACATGGTAAGCTCCCTTGCCAACTTTTTTCTTTACTTGCATACTAATCTTTCACAGAGTTTTAGCAAGATTCTAGGTTACTGTTTTTTTGTTAATTTTCATGCACAACTGAAATAATTCAATGTAAGTCAAGACCAATATGTCGAGGTAAATAGTGTAGGAAACTGGTCGTGAAGGGGAAACCTAGTCCAGCTCATACTAAAGCAAGGCGAAGTAAAGGTAAACGTTTCCCCTTGACATTAAGTCTAGTTGTGTCTGACTCTGGGAGGTGGTGCTCATCTCCATTTCTAAGCTAAAGAGCCAGCATTGTCTGTAGACACCTCCAAGATCATGTGGCCAGTATGACTGCATGGAGCGCCATTACCTTCCCGCAGAAGCGGTACCTATGGATCTACTCACATTTGCATGCCTTTGAACTGCTAGGTTGGCAGAAGTTGGGCCTGACAGCAGGAGCTCACCCAGCTTCCTGGATTCAAACCAGTAATCTTTCGGTCAGCAAGTTCAGCAGCTCAGTGGTTTAACCCGCTGCACCACTAGGAGGCCTAGTAACTTACTTACTAAAGGAAAAAGGTAAAGGTAAAAGTTTTCCCCTGACATTAAGTCTAGTCATGTCCAACTCTGGGGGTTGGTGCTTATCTCCATTTCTAAGCTGAAGACCCTCCAAGACCCTCCAAGGTCATGTGGCCAGCATGACTGTATGGAGTATTGTTACCTTTCTGTCAGAGCTGTACCTACTGATCTACTCACATTTGCATGTTTTTGAACTGCTAGGTTGGCAGAAGCTGGGGCTAACAGTGGAAACTCACCTCGCTCCCTGGATTCGAACCTGCAACCTTTCGGTCAACAAGTTCAGCATCTCAGCGGTTTAACCCACTGAGCAACCGTGGGCTCCTTTACTAAAGGAAACTTAGGTTCAAATTATATGAACTCTGCTAAGAAGCCTCATTTGTAAAACAGGGATGAGGATGGTCAATTCAGGTAGTAGATGTCATGGATGATCAAATTTCCAATACACGAGACTAATAATTTTGATGCAGACGTAGCCTGAGGATGAGCGAAACTCTTACAGTCACAGACACCAAATGAGTAGCGTTTTGCTTTTTCCAGAACTGAACCAGAAGTGGTTATTTTGCATAAGAATGAAACTGCTCAAACAGAGCTATTAGCAAAAATGTACAATACACAAAAATAACAAAAAAGTGGCTTCTGAGAGACAGCTAATGGGAAATCAGCACTTGTGGTATGCAGCCCGTCTCCAAAGTGCCTACAGAAGATTTGTAGTCACCCCTATAATTAAATGAAGTGGCTGGCAAACAGAATGCCTGGAGAGATTACGCAGCCACATCTGTGCTGGGATGACAGAGGAAGGGGGAGGACTCAAAGCAGGGCTCCCAGAGAAGAAAACGGCTGGGCTATCGGAGAGGGATGATTGTAAACCTTCCTGACAAGTCCGTGTCAAGAAAGAGAAAATGAAGTGAAAGAAGGTTATGAGAAAATTGAGAGGCAATTGTCAGGTCCAGCTAGATTCACCGGACAAAAAAGTATTGCTCCTTCTGAGCGACTTGCGTGACATATTGCCAGGATTTTTGCGCAAATGACCCTGACACAATATACCAATTTATCCACAGCCAGGTATACCATGTGTATCGGGAATGGGCAAACTTGGGTCTTCCAGAGGTTTTGGACTTCAACTCCCACCATTCCTAACAGCCTCAGGCCCCTTCCTTAAGCTTAAGCGGCTGAGGGGGAAAAGGAAAGGGCCTGAGGCTGTTAGGAATGGTGGGAGTTGAAGTCCAAAACCTCTGGAAGACCCAAGTTTGCCCATGCCTGATGTATACATATATGTATGTATATTTTTACATATGCATGGGGTTTGAATGTTGTACTCTGTGTGCCTGAAGCAGTGTATTCTTAACTCACAGAAGCTCACATGAGAAATAAATAAGCTCTTTTAAAAGAACGACTTTATGCATTATTTCGGTGATGCTGGAACAAAATAATTCAGCTGCCTTTTTGGAAAACTGCTCCAAAGAAGACTGTAACAGATTGTGATGTGATATAATCCTAGACTGCCACTTTCTGGGCTGTGATGGACTCTGTGTCTAAACTGATTAGAAAGTTCACCGCCGCCTGTCACGGTTACACAAACAGAAAGCAATGCTTTTACAGGAATAGCAAAGACAGGCTGGTGGTGGGGGGCGTTCGCTAGAAAGTGTCAGTGTGCCCAGAAATAGAGGCGATGGAAGTCATTCAGTCTTACGAATCAGGAGGAAAAGCACACATGGAACATAATAAATAAATAAATAAATAAGTCTCAGTGTCAGCTGGATTTAGCTCCCATGTCAGAGGAAATGCCCAGGTGTCCAAATTGATTTCGAAGCAGCCCATTTTCTCAGTGATGGAGCAGCTGCATAAAAATGGGTAGAAGGACTGGGAAATCCTTCCTTTCCATCACTTCTTATGGAGCCCCTAGTGGTGCAATGGGTTGAATCTCTGGATGTAGGTGAAATACAACTCCTAAACTCAAGGTCAATGCTCACCAGACCCTTCCAGTATTTTCTGTTGGTCATGGAAGTTTTGTGTGCCAAGTTTGGTTCAATTCCATCATTGGTGGAGTTCTGAATTATAAGTGAACTATAAATCCCAGCAACTACAACTCCCAAATGACAAAATCAATCCCTCCTCCCAATCCCACCAGTATTCCAATTTGGGCATTTGGGATAATTGTGCCAAATTTGTTTCAGTGAATGGAAATACATCCTGCATATCAGATATTTACATTACGAATCATAACAATAGCAAAATTATAGCGTTGAAGTAGCAATAAAAATAATGTTATGGTTGGGGGTCACCACAACATGAGGAATTGTATTAAGGGGTCACGGCATTAGGAAGGTTGAGAAATACTGGAGTAAATGGATTGGGAAATCCTTCCTCTCCATCACTTCTTATTCTGGTGGCTTGTGTGTGTTGGCGGGGGGGGGGGGGGGCAATTATTGGAGGTTGTGTACAGCTGTAAAGGAAGGATGCTGGAAGACCTATAACAAAGCCCAGGAAATGAACAGAGCTAGTGGAGCTCAGAGCTCAGAGACTGAGAGGAAGCAAAGCATTCACTGTCACCAAATAGGAAGTTGCAAAAAGAGCTGAAAAAAACCAATCAGGTGAGGGAACATCTGGAGTTTGGAAACTTTTCCTAAAAAATCATCCCTAGTAGTGGGGTTTCAGCATTAGATTACCATTCTGAAATCCAGGGTTCAAATCCCTCAGTCACAAAAACCTACCTAGGGTCAGTCACACACTCTCAGCCTCAGAAGATGGTAAAGCAAACCTTTTTCTGAACAAATCTTGCCTGCAACAGTGTTTCTCAACCTGGGGGTTGGGACCTCTGGGAGGGTCATGAGGGGATGTCTGAGGGGTTGCCAAAGAACATCAAATAACAGTATTTTCTGTTGGTCATGGGTGTTTTGTGTGGGAAGTTTGGCCCAATTCTATCATCGGTGGGGTTCAGAATGCTCTTTGATTGTAGGTAAACTATAAATCCCAGCAACAACAGCCCCAAATGTCAAGTTCTATTTTCTCCAAATGCCACCAGTGTTCACATTTGGACATATTGAGTATCCGTGCCAAGTTTGGTCCAGATCCATCATTGATGAGTTCACAGAATTCTCTGGATGTAGAACTACAACTCCAAAACTCAGGGTCAATGCCCACCAAACCCTTTTAGTGTTGTCTGTTGGTCATGGGAGTTCTGTGCACCAAGTTTGATTCAATGCCATCATTGGTGGAGTTCAGAATGTTCTTTGATTGTAGGTGAACTATCATTTTAAACAACTACAACTCCCAAATGACAAAATCATGTTTTCCCCAAACCCACCAGTATTCAAATTTTGGCATATCGGGGTTTTGTCCCAAATTTGGTCCAGTGAATGAAAATACATCCTGCATATCAGATATTTTCATAACAGTAGCAAAATTATTGTTATGCATTAGCAACAAAATAATGTTATGGTTGGGGGTCACCACAACATGAAGAACTGGATTAAGGGGTTGTGGCATTAGGAAGGTTGAGAACCACTGACTTACAGTCACCATGGATCAGGAGCAACGTGAAGGCGCACCACTGCAATGAACAGGTTGAGCATCCCTTATCCGTCAATCTGAAATGCTCCAAAATGGTCCACGTGGGTAGATGCCATGGTGAGGAGTTTGCTTTCTGGTGGTTCAATGTACACAAAGTATTGTCGATGGCTTTCATGGCCAGAATCACTGGGTTGCTGTGAGTTTTTCGAGCTGTATGGCCATGTTCCAGAAGCATTCTCTCCTGACGTTTTGCCTGCCTCTTCCCTAGTTTCCAACAGACCTCACAACCTCGGAGGATGCTTGCCACAGATGGAGGCGAAACGTCAGGAGAGAATGCTTCTGGGACATACAGACCGGAGAACTCACTGCAACCCAATGTAAACAAAGTTTGAATAGTGAACACGGCTATTCAAAATGCTGTGCATAAAATTATCCCGAGGGATCTCGAGACTTGGCTCTTGTTACCAAGATATCTCCCAACGCATAGGCAGGTATTCCCAAATCCACTAAATCCCAATTCTAGACCACTTGTGATGCCAAGCCTTTTGGAGGAGTGGTGCATCTCCCGACCCCCACCTTCCTTCCCTTCTTTCCCCGGCATTTCTTACCAACTCTTGCTTCAAGCGGCGCAGGTAGTGATCCATGTTTTTCTTTTCCATCCTGCCCTCCAAGCCCACCCGGCAGCTCCCCAAGAGCTCAGGTGCTTCCCCGGCGCTTCGCTCCTTTTCTTTTTTGCACCAGACAAGGTTGGCCACGAGCTGTGAAGAGTTCTTTCAGCAACTAATCCGAGAGCCCCACTTTAAAAAGGAAAAAGAAAAAAGATGCCCATTGATCTCTGGAGTTCTGGGCAAGCTCCAACCCTTCTCCAAAGAAGGAAGGAAGGCGAGAGGGAGGGAAAAGTTCACCGCGCGCGGATGCGAGAGAAACCGGGCGGGTTTTTGCAAAAGGATCGCGTGGGACTCTGCAAACGCCCGCCGCTTGCAAGGAACCCTTTGCGCGCGCGAGGAAGAGGAGGCGGCGGCGGCGGAGTGGGGAGTGGGAGGGGGAGAGGGAAGGAGGCTGGGCAACCCCGCCTGGCGCCTGATTGACAGGAGGAAGGAGCAGCACGCGGCGGCTGGAGGCTGGCGGAGGGGGGGGGGGGGGGGGGGGGGCGAGCCGAGGAAGAGAGACTTAGCAGCACCGGGGGCTTCCTAGCAGACCCCGCCTCCCCGGGGGTGGGTCTAGTAGTTTTCCCAAGAACGCCACCCGGGCCCTGATCGCTGGCTGGCGCGACCACATCCAGCATGCTTATATATGGATAACAATGCATGGATTGTATCTTTCAATTAAACCACCTCCTCCTTCCTCCTCTTCCCCTCTCCCTCTCTCTCTTCTGCTTCTTCTTTTCATCCTTCCTTCTCTACTGTCCCTCATTTTCCTCTTTTCTTTCTCTTCTACTTCCCCTCCTATTCCTTCCTTTTTTTCTTGTCTACTTCCCCTCCTGTCATCCTCTTTTCTCTTCTACTTTCTCCCCTTCTCTTCCTCTTCCACTTTCTACTTCCTACTCTCTTTTACAGTCTCCTTTCCTCATCTACTTCTCCTCTCCTTCCTCTTCTTCATTTCCTTTTCTTTCGCTTCTAGTTCCCCCTCCTTTCCTCCTTCCTTGTCTTCTTTCCTCTCATCTTCTTCCATCTCTTCCTCCTCCTCTCCTTCCTCTCTTTCATTTCCTTTTCTTTGTTTTCTATTTCCCCTTCCTTTCCTCCTTCCACATCTTCTTTCCTCTCATCTTCTTCCATCTCTTCCTCTTCATCTCCTTCCTCTTCTTCATTTCCTTTTCTTTTGCTTCTACTTCCCCTTCCTTTCCTCCTTCCTCATCTTCTTTCCTCTCTTCCTCTTCCATCTCTTCCTCCAACACTTCTGCTACTTTCTACTTTCTTCTCTCCTCTTCTACTTCCTCCTCTGCTGCTTCCCTTTCTCTCCTTTCTCTTCTTTTCTTCTTCTACTCTCCCCTCTTCTCATCCTCCTTCCTTTTCTACTTCTTCATCTCCTTTCTCTTCTTTTCCTCTTCTTGCTCTTTTATACTTCCCCTCCCCTCCTCTTCTTCCTCATCCTCTCCTTCCTCTTGTACTTCGCCTTTTCATCCTCCTTCCTTCTCTACTGTCCCCATCTTCATTTCTTTCTCATCTACTTCCTCTTTTCTTCCCCTTCTCCTACTTTCCCATCTTCTCTTCCTCCTCTTGTCCCATCTCTTCCTCTTCTACTTCCTACTTCCTTCTCTCTTACATTCTCCTGACTCTTCTGCTTCCTCTCCTCTCCTCCTTACTCTTCTACATTTCCTCATCTTTCTCTTCTACTTCCCCTCATTTTCTCCTCCCTCTTCTTCTTTCTTCCTCCTCTTCTGCTCCTTTCTACTTCCTTTTCTTTTCTACTTCTTTTTCTGCTTCTCCTCCTCTCTTTCCTCTTCTTTGTTTCCTCTTATGCTCCCCCTCTTCTCATCCTTCTTCCTCTTCTACTTCTCCCTCCTCATCCTTCCTTTTTTCCTCTTCTACTCCCATTCTCCTCCTCCCTTCTCTTCCTCCTCCTCCTCCTCTTTACCATCATTATCATTGAGATTTTTTGTGGTTGAAGGAACCAGCCTGAAGTGTCAAGGTATTTCACTGGATATAAACTATGTTAAGATAGTCCATGCTGCCATTTCTCCCATTTCTATATATGGCAGTGAAAGCTGGGCAGTGAAGAAAAAAGCTCACACTCAGAAAATGAACTACACTTGGCTCTCTGCATCCGTAGATTCAACCATCCACAGCTTGAAAATATTTTTGAAAGTTCCAGAAAACAAATGGTGATTTTTTACTATTTCACATGTTTGCTATGGCACAGATAATGGTATCCAAGGAGAGGGGGTCCCAGAACCAACCTCCAGGGGATAACAAGGTCCAAATATAATTTGTGATGTGTTGCTGGAGAAGAGTTCTAAGGAAACTGTCAATTAAAAAAACAAAACAAAAAACAACAACAAAACAATCTGATACATGGATCCTGGAGCAAATCAAATCTGAAGTCTCCCTAGAAGACGACTGTTGTACTTTGGCCAGATCATGAGAAGACATGACTCACTAGAAAACAGAATAATGATGGGTAAGGAAGAAACCAGTAGGAAAACTGCATTACAGATGGATGGGCTTAATGAAGGACTTGAACATTGTTGACTGACTTGGAGGCCTCTCATTCATTGGGATCTCGTAAGTCAGAGTCCATGTTGAAGGCAGTTGACACTGAAGACCTCATTACAAGATGGAAAGGATCCATATATAGAAGTGGGCTGTCTGCTTTACAATTTTAAGGGTTTTAGTGAAGAGGGATACCAGCTACATCAAATGGAGAGGACATCTTCATCCAAGAATTCTTGGGGCACCTTTCAGGAATGGCAGATGGCCTCTATCATTGCTACCCAATTGCAGATGACACCAATTTTGAGGGAAGAGAGGGAATGTTTGCATTTGTGAATCTCATATTGGGCAGTTTATTGTGAGAGGATTTACATCTTGAGATGCTGAGAATGGGCAGTAATTTCTGAATTACAGTTTGAACCACTGGCTAGGTGAATCTAAGATGTCCAAAAAGTTACTTTTCCAAGTTCTGGATTGGAGTTGTTTTTTTGTGGTGATGGCAGCATTCTATGCAAACTAGATTATTGGTGGGCATGTTATCAGTGGCTGCATGGGCATCATAAGCTTTGAAGGAGCACATGCCATTCAAAGATGTTTTCCCAATCCCATCCAAATTATCAGGTCTCAGGGGTCGACCTTTGGTTTCAGAAGAAAGTTAATCATTTCAAGTCTTCAAAGGAAGATTCAAATCTTCCAGACAGAGATTGAGCCAGGCAGATTAGGCCATATTTGATTCTGATTTGTGAGGTTTTGCTTTTAGTTCAGCTCAGTGTTTAATGAGTTCTACCTTGCTCCGTCAGGCAGTCAAACTCTGCTCTTTAACCTTCCAGAATTGTTCCTGCCTCCAAATAGGGGCAAATCCCTTGCCATTGCAACTTTCATCCCCTGATATATCTGACTCCGTACCTGAATTCTGAGGTCTCAGTGAATCTGTCCAGGTTGAGAATCCATTGTTGGAATAGCATGGGATCAGAAGTACTTTGGATTTTTTTTCAGATTTTAGGATAGCTGTGTTTGCATATATGTATATAATGAGTCCCTGGTGGTGCAGTGAGTTAAAGAACTAAGCTGCTGAACTTGTTGACCGAAAGGTCACCAGTTCGAATACAGGGAGCGGATGAGCTCCTGCTGTTGACCCAAGCTTTTGCCAACCGAGCCATTCAAAAATATGCAAATGTGAGTAGATCAATAGGTACCGTTCTGGCGTGAAGATAATAGCTCTCCGTGCAGTCATACTGACCACATGACCTTGGAGGCGTCTACGGACAACGGCAGCTCGTCAGCTTAGAAATTGAGATGAGCACCAATGTCGGACACGACTGGACTTAATGTCAGGGGAAAACCTTTACCATTACCTATATAATAAGACATTTTGGAGATGAAACCCAAGTCTAAAAATGAGTCATGTGTCTTACACCTTATGAGTCACCTTATTATGCACATAGCCTGAAGGCATTTTATACACAATATTTTAAAAATAATTTTGTGCATGGAACAAAGTTTGTGGACATTGAGCCACCTTAAAGCAAAGATGTCACTTCCTTGGCTGATATGTGGACAATTTCATATTTTGGAATATTTCAGATTTTGGAATTTCATGCTATATATCTATAATCAGAACCCCACAAAACAGGAATGAGAGAGATGTATGGGAGCAACAACACTACTGGGCATCTGGACATCCTGCAGCCCATTCTTATTAGATCAACACTTAAAAGGCAGAACCATTCCATATGGCTGCAGTAATGGAAGAGCTGTGTCGAGAAGCCAAATTCATAAAGCCATCACTCTCCCACACTTTGTGTGTGTGTGCCTTTATGTTGCTCCATTGACCTATATTCAGAAGTTGAGTCCTTAACAAAATGACTGAATAAATATGGCCACCTGCTTTTGGGTATCTGACTTTATAATATGTAACCTTTTAGTTTATGAATTTTTATTGTTGTTAGAAACATAAATTCATATGTCTATAAGATGAATCAATGTATGCATGCATATCCATCACTTGCTCCCTCGCAATCCCATTATTCAGTGCTCCATACCTCAGATGGAATGGACTCTGCTCTTCAAAAGCTTATATCATGATAAACATCTTAGCTTTGATGGTGCTGCAAGATGACGTTCTTGGTTTTTCTGCAACAGATAAACATGAGCCATCGGTTCATAGACAACTACCTGTCTGGGAATTGCTCAATAGCACTTGGCTGGTTGTGAGCGCTGACTAAGGTAGTATGATTTGGCTCATTGTTGAGAGATAATGTAAGGTGATATTCAAATTTTCTATGGTGAGTCATCAGAGACAGAGGTTGGGAAAGTTACTTTTTGAGATACCAACTCCTGGATTGGTGGATATCCAGCCTGGTGATTAGTCATATGCCTGGGGAAATCTGGACATTTTTATCCAAAACAGTAGTTTTCTCATGTTTCTGGTGTAGAATGGATGGCTCTCATAGGTAAAGGTAAAGGTTTCCCCTGACATTAAGTCTAGTTGTGTCCGACTCTGGGGGATGGTGCTCATCTCAATTTCTAAGCCGAAGAGGCAGCATTATCCATAGACACCTCCAAGGTCATGTGGCCAGCATGACTGCATGGAGCGCCATTACCTTCCTACAGAAGCGGTGAAGAGGCTTGGTGGTACCTATTGATCTATTCCCATTTGCATGTTTTTAAACTGCTAGGTTGGCAGAAGCTGGACCTAACAGTGGGAACTCACCCCGTTCCCTGCATTCGAACCGCCAGCCTTTCGGTCAGCAAGTTCAGCAGCTCAGCAGTTTAACCTGCTGTGATTTTTGTCCTACTAAGGGTGTATCTGCCCCGTATAATTAATGCAGCTTCATACTACTTTAGATGCCATGAGTCAATATTAT